TTTTAAGAATTAAAACACTTTAAAAAAATCACGAGTGGATGATAAAGTGTAGAAACTGAAAATGTACAAACAATTTAAAACCTGGAATCGCTGACTGTTCAGAAACTACAGAGATGGATCCTGGGTGGTGGTGAACAGCAGAAAGGGATTGAGGATGAATCTGCATTGTTCTAGGTGCTTCCCATGCCACCCGTCTCCGAGGAAAGCCTACTAATGCTGGCAGCAGATCCAGTGATTGTAACCTGCCTCTCAGCAGATCCCTCCACTGGGTTCGCAATTTTGATCTGCGCCACAAACATCTGATGCATCTCACTGATTTTGGCACCCTGACGCCCGATTATGAAGCCAATCAAATCATTTGGAATGGTGAGTTCATGAGAAGTAGTCTGAGCAGATGCATCCAAACCTGCCCAATAGCCTTTCACCTCTGGACAGCTGGATTCAATGCCACTGAATCCGGTGTTGCATGTGTCATAGGAAAATGAGACTGTTGCATTGCCAACTGATGCAGCTTGGTCAAATCTGGCTGTGGAATCGCATACTGTCCTTGAATGGTATAGGCCTGACCACCTGCAAATATGACCAGAGAACTGGATGGCCTCGGCCGGTATGGGATGGTCACGCCCTTCGCGGGGGACTCCAACATGAACACGCAGATCTGTTTGACACACTCAAAGATGGATTGTGGAATGCCAGCGATAGTGATGGCCTGTTCAGTTGAGTTGGGGAGCATATCCCCCGCCACCTGGACCTGAGCCCCTGTTGTTCTTGTTATGTGCCATCGAGTCGTATGTGACCCACAGTGACCCTATGTACAACAGCCCTAAACCCTGCTCTATTCTGTGCCAATCACATTGCCTCTGACACACCCATCCCCACTAGCCCAGTCACTGAATCAATCCACCTCATAGAGGGTCTTCCCCTCCTGCGCCGTCCCTCCACCCTCCCAAGGATGATGACCCTCTCCAAGGACTGGTCCCTCCTTACAGCATGTCCACAATATGTCAGATGAAGCCCCAGAATCCTTGCCTCCAAGGAGCACCCTGGTTTAACCCTCTCTAGGACAAATCTGTTTGTTTTCTTGGCAGTCCATGGTACAATCAATACTCTTCTCCAGCACCACAGCTCAAAGTCATCAATTCTCCTTCTATCCTCCCTAGTCATTGTCCAACTCTCTAATGCATAACAAGTGATTGCAAAGACCATGGCCTGTATCAGGTGCACCTTAGTCTCCAGAGAGTCACCGTTACTCTTGAGTACCGTAGAGAGGTCCCTAACAGCAGACTTTCCCATCACAATACGTTTTCTGGCTGCTGGTGCCAAGAGTGTTCACCGTGAAGCCGAGCAAACTGAAGCTGTGAACAATCTCAATCTCTTCACCATCCATTCTGATGCTACCAATCGGTCCAGTGGTGAGAATCTTTGTCTTCTTGACATTGAGCCTCAGTCCATACTGAAGGCTGCAGTCCTTGACCTTCTGCAGCAAGTACATGTGGTCCTCCTCAGTTACAGCAAGCAGGGTTGTGTCATCTGCATAATCCAGATTGTTAATAGATCTTCCACCAATCCTGACGCCACACTTCTCCTCATAGAGTCCAGCCTCTTGGATAATCTCCTCTGCATACAGGTTGAAAAGGTATGGAGACAGGACACATCCCTGGAATACACCCTTCCCAATTTTGAACCATTCAGTGTTACCCGGCTCTGTTCTGACGACTGCCTCTTGGTCCAAGTATAGGTTTCTCATTAGCACGCTTAAATGTTCTGGGATTCCCATTCTTCTCAGAGTCAGCCACAGTTTGTTATGATCCACACAGTCAAACGCCTTTGAATAATCAATGAAACACAGATAGACATTCTCCTGGTATTCCCTGCTTTCAGCTAAGATCCACCTAACATCAGCTACAATATCCCTAGTACCACGACCCCTTCTAAACCCAGCCTGGACTTCTGGTAGTTCTCTGCTGATGTGCTGTTCCAGTCGTTTTTGGATAATCTTCAGTAGAATCTTGGCTGCATGTGAAATCAATGATATTGTTCTGTAGTTTCCACACTCAATTGGGTCACCCTTCTTTGGAATGGGGACAAATATAGATCTCTTCCAGTCAGTTGGCCAAGTGGTTGTTCTCCAGATTTCTTGGCACAACTTGGTGAGCACATCCAGGGCAGCATCTGTTAGCTGAAATATGTCAGTTGGTATACCATTTATTCCTAGAGCCTTATTTTTCGCTATTTCCTTCAAAGCAGCTTGAACTTCTTCCTTCATCACCATAAGCTCTTGCTCAAATGCTATTTCATTAAATTCTTCTGTATCTGCCAATTCCTTTTGACACAATTACTCAGTATATTCCTTACATCTTCTTTTAATACCTCCTAAATCATTTAATATTCTGCCTAAAGCATCCTTGATTATAGCAACTCTTGGTTTGAATTTGTTCTTCAGTTCATTGAGCTTAAGAAATGCTGAACCCCTGTACTCTCTCGTATTTTCTTGATCTTGCAACCTTTTCCAATGAGTGAGCCACACTGACTAGTAGGAATCACCAGCCTCAGGGTTACTGGGCGTCTACTGGCGGCTGTGCTATTGGTCACAGAGGTGTTGATATCCTCTTCCAGTTTGTCAATGATCATAGCAAAGGCTTTAAAGATGGCATTAATGGGTCCAGCCAAAGTAATAATACTCTCAGGACAATTTCCTTCTAAGATGCTGATACGTGCACCACTCTCTTCACACATCTTCTTAACCGATTCTCCTTTCTTTCCAATAATACTGCCAACTTCCTTTCCAAGCATAAGTAGCCGGATGGTGTGAGTGACATTTAATCCACCTTCAATCACACAGGTGTCCATGTCGAGCTGTGTTCTGGTGAGCCAGACTTTGAATGGTCAAGTCTTTGGTCACAGGTGAGGGTGAAAGACAAAACTGCAGGCTGAGGCGTCTGAGGGGGAAAAGGGGAGCCTGCGGGAAGGGGAAGGGTGGGAGGTGGAGGCGGCGGAACAACAGGGGCGGGCGGGAAGGTGAGCCCTCCCCTCCTCTGCAGGCGGAGGAGGAAGGGGGAAAGAGACCCAGGGCAGGTGAAGGGCAGTGGAGGGCGGGTGGAGGGCAGCGGAAGGGCAGGTGGAGGGCAGCAAAAGGGCGGGTGGAGGGCAGCAGGAGACACTATCTGATTTTTAAAATACCAACGTTTGAAGCCATCTAGTGAAAACTGATGCATAGGTGACCCTCCAGTGAGTTCAAAAAGCCTTAAATAGCAAAGGAAGAGACTGTCCATCATTCTCCCTCAGAGTAACTAGTGGATTTCCTGACAGAAAGGTGAAACTTGTAGGATGGTACTTAAGAACTCACAAATGTTTTGATTAGACATTGATTAATTATTTTAAAGTTGTAATTAATGTCAAACAAATGTCAATGAATGAAAGACAAAAATATATGAAAAGCAATTTGGAGTAGTTGCCAACACTACGCATACTATCTATAGTTGTTGTTGTTGTGTGCCGTCGAGTCGTTTCCGACTCATAGTGACCCTATGCACA